ACCCTAAACCTTAGCCCTAAACCCTAAACCCTAAGCCCTAGGCCCTAAAGCCCTAAGCCCTCAGGCCTAAACCCCCGGATTAAAGGTTCGGAGGTTCCGGAGCTTCCAGGGATATCCAGGAGTTGAAGCTTCGAAGGCGTGCTTGGCGGTGGGGGCATGGCCGGGTGTGAGGGTTTAAGCTTTAGGGTTTAGGGGTTTAGGGTTTAGGCTTAGATAAAGGACCCTAAAAGGGAGCCTAATTTAGAGAATTACCTATATAACCCCGCTGAGAAGCTGAGGCCGACAAATGGCGAACAAACCAACACCTTGAGAGGAGAGGAAACGAGCTAGGGTTTAGGGCCAGGTGGTTTCGGGTTCTTACTTCCCAATGAGCCAGGGAAATAAGAGTTAAACTTTGAGATTACTACCAAATTGTAAGAGCCCAAAAAGTTTAAAGGTTGGGCATTGGAGAGCTAAGGGATTTAGATTCAGACCGAGTGGAACCCCAAAACCACACTAGAGGTCATTTACATTGTTACATCCTCGAGTGTTGGGTTTAAGGTCTTGGTCCCCCCTAGCAGAGATGCGCAGATGTGTGCGGCTGAATCTATCTTGTTCTATCGTTCCAGCGGGCATTGAGGATCGTCGGAGTTTGGATTCGAGATGCTTGTGTTTTAGCTTGAAGGGTGACGCAAGAATATAGTGCAGTATACCCTAAACGTCAAAAGCCCTGCACACTTAAAACCAAAAAACCCTAAACCCTAAACCGTGGCTCTGCTCATGCAAAATGGAGCCTTGGATCTGGGATCTGGAGGCAGTGTGCGGATCAAAAACACAGGCACGCAATCGGGGAACCCGAAATCCGAAACTCGAAGCAGTGTTGAGGGTTTAGGGTTAGGGAGCCCTTAAGTACGTTAAGCATTGGAAAAAAGTGGGGTCAGAAGTAGGGTCCCCCCGAACGAGCACGAATGTTACCGGTCTGTCGTCAGCGCTTCGACAACCCATTTTGCAGATGCCGTGCGAGTCTTGTTCTGCACCGCTGCCGAGACCTGCCCTGCTAAATAGGTTTCAGAAGATGCTGCACAGCGCTGCTGTCACCGCCATGGGCATCACTACCCCAGGTCACGACGGATCCATCGCCAAGAATTGCAGCAAAAGCTCTGTCAGAGGCTTGGATCTGCTGCACGTTCTTCAGCTGATCCTGCACGGCACTACTGTCACCACCACAGCCAGCACTACCCCAGGTCACGACGGATCCATCACCAAGAATGGCAGCAAAAGCGGCTTGAGAGGCTTGGATCTGCTGCACGTTCTTCAGCTGATCCTGCACGGCACTACTGTCACCAGCTCAGCCAGCACTACCCCAGGTCACGACCGATCCATCGCCAAGAATAGCAGCAAAAGCCTGGTAAGAGGCTTGAATCTGTTGCACGTTCTTCAGCTGATCCTGCATGGCACTGCTGTCACCACCATAGGCAGACTTACCCCAGGTCACGACGGATCCATCGCCAAGAATGACAGCAAAAGCACTGATAGAGGCTTGGATCTGCTGCACGTTCTTCAGCTGATCCTGCACGGCGCTACTGTCACCACCAGCGGTAGCATCACCCCAGGTCACGACCGATCCATCGGCAAGAACGGCAGCAAAAGCGAAACGAGAGGCTTGAATCTGCTGCACGTTCTTCAGCTGATCCTGCACGGCACTACTGTCACCACCATTGGTAGCAAAACCCCAGGTCACGATGGATCCATCGCCAAGAATGGCAGCAAAAGCCGCGTGAGAGGCTTGGATCTGCTGCACGTTCTTCAGCTGATCCTGCACGGCACTACTGTCACCACCATGGGCAGCACTACCCCAGGTCACGACCGATCCATCGGCAAGAATGGCAGCAAAAGCGAAGTGTGAGGCTTGGATCTGCTGCACGTTCTTCAACTGATCCTGCACGGCACTACTGTCACCACCATCGTCAGCATCACCCCAGGTCACGACGGATCCATCAGCAAGAACGGCAGCAAAAGCCTGGTAAGAGGCTTGGATCTGCTGCACGTTCTTCAGCTGATCCTGCACGGCACTACTGTCACCACCATATTCAGTACGACCCCAGGTCACGACCGAGCCATCACCAAGAATGGCAGCAAAAGATAGGCGACAGGCTTGAACTTGGATTCTGTTTATATGCAGCGCTAGTAAATCACCGTTCTGCAGCCTTGTACACTTGATCGGTGCACATGCATCCAGCACACTTCCAGATGAGTCTACGAGCCGCCCTCCTCCAACTCCGAGTGCGATCTGTGCTCGACGTTTCAATGCTCCGACTTCTTCATCCAAGGCTGCCTTCACGGTGGCTGTCTTGCCGCTGAGCAGCCCAACGTCCACTGTAATCGACATCTTGCCGCCTTATTCTAGTTACAGTATAGTATACACCCAAGCCCTATTCCAACTATTAATGCCCTAAACCCTAAACCCTAAAACCTAAACCCTAAACCCTGAAATTCTAAAGCCTAAACCCCGAAACCCTAAAACCTAAATTACTTTGGGACTGACATACGTCTAGGTCCACTGCAGCTCGGCCGAGGATGACTCAGTGTCAGTGAAGAGATACAGACCCAACATAAGGGCCGTTTAGGGTTTAGGGTTTAGGGTTTTAGGGTTTAGGGTTTTAGGGTTTAGGGTTTCGGGTTTCGGGTTAAGGTTTTGGGGCCTAGTTTTGCGCAATTCTACACGGACTGGACAACAAGGAGATAGTATTCTATACTCACTGAACCTTGGCCATATGCCCTAAGCCCGGATTTTCAGGCCAGTTTAGCCATTTAGGGGTGTAGGGTTTAGGTGCAGGGTTTAGGGGCTTAGGGATTTAGGGTTCCCAGCTTTGGAATTAATATGCCACCCGAAAAGGGACACTGAAGCAGAAACCTACAGCTCTGAACCGCAACAACTTCCACTTTCTTGGGTACTTCAGAGCCGACGCTATTTCATGCCTCAAAGCCTAACAAAGACATCCTGGCTTACACTGGGCCCTGCAAAACCTTCAGGCCTTGGCTAATCCTACACCGCAACACCCCACAAGGGGTTTAGGGTTTAGGGTTTCGGGTCAGGGTTTAGGGTTTATGGTGCCTCGAGCCTCAAACCTGAACCGGTAGCCTAAGAACCCTGCCTCGAAGATCACGTTGCGAAAGCCGAAGCGTTGCTTCTGCCATCGCATGACGACTTCCACCATGGTAAAGGCAGCGGTTTTAACCAAACGATAGTTAGCTGCCCTCTCCGGGCTTCAAAACGGGGTCTGTGAGCGTTTCTATAATAATAGGTAATAATAGGGTTTCTATAGGGGTAGTATAAGGGTTCAAGCGATTCAATGTCAGGATAATAGGGTTTCTATATAGGGGTAGTAATATAGGGGTTCAAACGATTCAATGTCAAGGATTTGGAAATCGTAAACCCTAAACCCTGTACCCCAGCTGCCTCAAATGCCTAGGCTTCATGCCTCTTAGCCTTCAGGCGGGTTCAAGCGTTTTGGAGTTTGTAAAGCTTATAGTTTAGGGGTTTAGGGTTTGTGGGTTTAGGGTGTAGGGTTTAAGGTTTAGGGGTTTAGGGTTTAAGGAGGAGTTTGAGGCCCTCAGTCTGCAGAGTGGTTCAAGGCGACGTTTCCGCAGGGTCTGGAGGGTTTGGCAGGGCTGTTGGACTCGCGCGTCGTCCACGGAATCATATGTTCTTCGCAAGAACAAAAGGCTTGTCAGCATCTGCTCCATACATAGGGTAATATAGGGGCCTTGATATTGGGGGATTTTATAGGGTACTGATAACAAGGAACCCCCAAGGATGGAGTTGATCATTGCTCAGGTCCTATATAGCTTGGGCAGAATGGGCTTAGGGTGTATTGTATTCGACTTTATAAGTATCATATGTGATCCCTTTACGGGTCCTTATAAGTCTACTTAAATTCCTACTTACTTATTGTATTAGACTTATAAGTATCATAGGATCCCTATTAGGGTCCTTATAAGTTTACTTACTCTTACTGACGAAGTCCGCCGACCCTCCAAGTGGGCACATTTGTGGGTGCCACGGGTCAAGCTTGAGAGGCGGGGCTCCTGGTGCAGCGCAGTCAATTCTGGAGCTCTAGGCCGCAGATGATTGGGAGTTTGGGCTTTCGGTTCAGGGCCTCTTGAGATTAGCGTTTACCTGGGCCCCCAAAATCCTACCTGTTTAGGGGTCCTTATTATGATTTCCTTGTATAAGTCCTTAAAAAGGCAGGTTCTTTGGGGCCTAGGTAGGGTTTAGGGTTTCGCTTCAAAGTTTAGGGCTTCTGGGATTCGGTCCGCGGCTCTGCTGAGTTTACCCCGCCACCTGCATCCCAACTGGCGGGGACATGGACTGGGTTTAGGGTTTAGGGTTTAGACTGTCTGCCAAGATGCAGACTTTGTTGAACGTCGCTTGGGTAGGGCCTGCGCTCGATGCACTCGTCAGGATGCCTTCAACCTCTGCACTTTGCAGCTCGTAGAATCGAGGCTTTCAATGATAGGGCTTAAACAAGTTAAGACTAATGTAGACTCTGATCAATTACCGCCCGCCCCAGTTATTTCAGGGCCCGCAACATCCCTCTCATGATCCCTATAGAGGGGAATCTTTGGGAGGCAGTTTTACGCTGCATCGTTGGGAGAAACCGCTTTGGGGGTCCTTACAGGTACCCATACCGTGGTTTAGGGCTTGTGGCGTTTAGGGGTTGATAGGATCTAGGGACCCCGTAAACCTTGCATAATCCTTACCCCAAGGGTCCAAGTACCTAATTATCATATATTCTCCAAAATAGTAACCTACATAACTACTATCCTAAACCGCAGTACCTGATGATTGGGTCCTTTGGACCCTTAGAGATTTCGTAACCACAACTCTGCCAGTGAACATGTGGGCAACTGGGTCTCGGTTAATAACCATAACCTTCGCCCATCGTTCTTAGAACCAAAGTCATTTATGATACAACGCTTCTGAACATCCCTTCGAGATCTATATTGAAAATAAAATCTTAAGAACACCAACGGGTAAGCTTCAACCCCCTGCTTTCGATCTCAGCGCAGACTGGGTCTGTCGGCACACGTGGCCTCTTTGGGCCTCTCGGCGGTGAGCCGACGGTGTCAACACCTTCGGACACGGCTTCTTGCAGCATCCGAGCAACCTGACAGCATGTTGCTTCAATGGTTTTGGTTTAGGGCCTTTATTGCTTATGGATTGTGGGCTTGGATTTAGGAGATGCAAAGATTAAGGGTTTGGGTTTTAGGGTTGCTTATGGTAAAGACTGAGGCTTAAGCTGTGTTTCAGGGCGTGCGCATCAGTAGCGGTGATACATAACTTCGAGGATCCATTCTTTAGGACCTCATTCAAGCGCTTCGGGTGTTTGTGCCGAGATCCCTAACCCCTAAAGCCTAAACCCCTAAACCCTAAACCCCTAAACCCTAGACCCCTAAACCCCTGAATCCTTAAACCCTTATAACCCCTACACCCTAGAGCCCTAAACCCCGAACCCCTATAAACCCGAAAGCCCCAAACCCTTATAACGCCTAAACCCTGAAGCCACGACCCTAAACCCTAAACCCCTAAACCCCTAAACCCCCAGCCCTAAACCTAGCCCCAACAGCGCCGCCTGCACGTGGCCTTTCGCCGAGGCCACTGCCAAGGGCGAATCTCCTTTCAGATCAGGCTCGTTGACGTTGGCCCTGGCCTTTACGATTTAGGGCTTTTTTTGGCTTTGAGGGCCATGCTTTTAGGGTTTAGGGTTTCGGGCTTTAGGGCTTTTAGGGCTTTGCTTTTAGGGTTTAGGGCTTTAGGGCTTTTGGGGCTTTTAGGGCTTTGCTGTTAGGGTTTAGGGTTTAGGGCTTTTGGGGTTTTAGGGTTTAGGGTTCGGGGGATTAAGGTTAGAGATTAGGTACAGGTTGGGGCTTAGTTAGAGTTGCAGGTTTAGGCTTTTCGGACGCACAAAGCCCCAGCAGACCTGAATAACCTCCTAAACTCCCATGGGGCAACAGGGTTAAGGAGGATGAAAGCCTCTGTGTAGGGCTTCATGAAGTTGCAATTTACGGCTTCCGGGCTCCGGGTTCTAGATCCTACACAGCTTCGAACCACGCAGTCACAAAACAGCCCGAAGCCAAATTCGTTTCAAATTCTAGAAATATTTAGGAAGGGGGTTTAGTGTAGATGCACGGCGACGTACAGAGTCCTGATCTGTTTTGGGGGCTGTAAGCGTCGTATAAAAGTCGTATAGCGGTTCCGTTCCGTTACCACCCCCGAGCCCCATAGGTCCAAAGTCAATCATGTACTTCGGCTAATAGGGGTTTAGGGTTGAGGATTTAATAGGGATAAGGGTTTAGGGTCAGGGCTTAGGGTTTAGGGTTGATGATATAAATCCTGCAATACCCACAATAAGGAATTTACCATAATTCCCATAGTTTAGGGGTCCTTAGGTAATGCAGGATTTATATCATCAACTGTAGTACGATGAGTTTAGAGGCTTGGGGCTTAGCCTTGTTATCTGATGCTTCCACTTTGAATCTGCACCTGCAGGATTGCGGCTCTTCCCCGGGCTCCGGCGAAGAAACTGTGTAGTAGAGGGGCCTTCATGATTGCTACGGGGCTTTGTAATAGATAGTCTCTACCCATAGGCCCCTAAGTAGTTCCTTTTTGGGATTACCTTATAGGATTCTAAATATGCACCACAATAAGGAACTACTTAGGGGCCTGTGGGTAACATGTGCCAGGGTCTCCTTGGGGATGTTGAATGACCTACGACTGCTGATCTTCATGCTTTGTTCACAGTCAGCGGCTGTGAAAGTTCACCATCTCAGGATCAGGCCCACATGGGCCTCATGTAGGGTTTCTGTAATGGGAACTGCTAGTATGAATTCACGGAAGTATCCCCATGACAGTACCTATAGGACCCTGTGGGGTGTTGAGGGAAGCGCCTGCAACAAAGAGCGCACCACGGCCACATTGGCATTTGCGGCAGCGAGCCATAACCTCCCACTTGGCCGAAACAAACCTAGTAACCAGGGTGTCCACCTACTTAGGATCTATTTTCCGGTCCCCGATTTTCTGGAACTCTCAAACACCCTAAACACTTACTATAAGTCTTATCAGGGAGTTGAGATGTCATCCCCCGAAACCACAGGTTTTTAGAGCATGGGATGACTGAATGGGGTATCTGCCGTCAAATTTCAGCATGTTGACTTCCCCGACCCCTTTCAGGATCCGAAAAGTAGATCCCAGATCCCTTTGCAGGTGTTCCTGTGAAGTTTCTTTTTGTAGTAGTGTGCTTGGGGTTTAGGGTTTAGGGTGGTCTATAGGGTCCCAAATTGCAACGGGATGTCTAAGGTGTGAGATTTCCCGTTTAAGCCCAGCAGCGGCGACTGCTTGTCTTTGGTGGACTGCCTCGGAGCAAATAGCTTTAGGGTTTAGGCCTTGTAGGATTTAGGTTTAAGGCTTTAAGGGTTTCGGGGTTAAGCAAACTGCAGGGTTGGAAAACCCAACAAAAACCCTTAGTGCCTGAAGCCCTAAACCCCTTAAGTAAACCCCTCAAACCTAAACCCTCAACCCTAAACCCTTTAAACCCCTAACTCCCAAACCCTAAACCCTAAACCCCTTAACCCTGAGTGCCCTAGCCTTTCGCTCAACGAAGGAGGAGGCAAACTAATGAAATTCTGATCCTAGCCCTCTGATTTCTCAGGTAGGTCTAGAAAAACTGCAGGGCTCCAGGGCTTGAGGGGTCTAGGGTTTAGGGTTTAGATACTTTAAGGTTTGGGGTTTAGGGTTGAGGGTATTTTTACGGTTTAGGGTTTCGGGCCTAGGGTGATTGGCTTCATAGAGTAACGTAGCAGGATTTCACCTACAACCGATAATGTAGGCCCAGCATGCAATCGATGTCGACAAATAGCCTACCTCCAGACGTTCTTATCGGATCTTCGCACACATAGAACTGCTCGGACATTTCCACAAAGAAGCGCTAAACCCTATACAGTAACCCTAAATAAACCCAAACGAGAGCTGCTAAAGCTACAAACCGAAACCTACGGTTGATGATATAAATCCTGCATTACCTTAAGGACCCTAAACTATGGGATTTATGGTATATTCCTTTTTAGGGGTAATGCAGGATTTTTATCATCAACCCTCGTCCATGGGGAGCCGCGCTGCTCTTTGTCAGCCCTTGATGCAAGCAGAAGCCTCACGATGCTCACGAAGCCGCGCGCGGCAGCCAAGCAAAGAGGAGACCTGCGTTCTTGACAAATGGGGTAGTTCTTCAAATCAGGGTCCCTTTTTAGGGTCCTATTTTAAATTGGTGTCGTACTATATTGGGGACGTACAAAAAGGGGCCCTAAGTTAGAGAACTACCCGCATAAACCTAACTTACTGGGCCCCATGATCTTCCAAGCAGCGCTTCTCGGCATCGGGGTTTGGGGGCTCGGGAATTACACACAATGGTTTGTAGTGGTTTGTCACCTCAAACGACCATAATCTACATTTTGGTAGCTTCTTATTATAATTACACTCTAATACAGACCTTAAAGTGACCCTGCCAAAAAAAAACTAGGATATGGAAGCTTAAGAATACTCGACTCTAAACCCTTATGAACCCTAGACAACATGTGGAAGAACCGAAACTCAAAAAAAAAAACTAAAGCCCTAAACCTAAATCCCAAAACCCTACAGATCCTAATCTTGAAACACCAAAAAAAACTAAAGCCCTAAACCTAATCCTAAACCCTGCAGTTGAAACACAAGCATCCCCGTATTGCAAGGGAGACTCTGGCCATTGGCACTGGCCAGGTCGTAGTCTGCGCCTGTGGAGTTTTGCTCTCTACCCAAACCTTGAGGGTTTTTTTTGTGTTTAGGGGTTTGGGTTTAGGGTTTCGGGTTTTAGTTGGGTTTAGGGTTTAGGGTTTTGGGTTTATGGTTTTGGGGCTTGGTGAGTAAAGGTTGAGGGCTTTCAGGGGTATGAGCTCATGGCTTACTTAGGCGGATTTCGGCAACAAGTAACTAGACTTGGACTAGAGGCCAAAGTTTCACAAACCCTGAGACCTCAAGCCCTCAACCCTTTTAGGGGTTAGGGTTTGGGGGTGTATATAGGTTTTAGGTTTTAGGGTTGCCACGGAGCCCTAATTAAACCCGAAGCCCGGATTGTGTTCGCCGCCGACCTGCGTGCAGCAGCACCTGCGCGACTCGTGTGAAGCCCTTCTTTGCGGCGCTCCACAGCAAGGACTCCCCCTGGCCTGGGCTTCTGTTTACCCAAAGGAAGGGTCCTATGTAAGGCTGTGGGGGGATACTTCCCTAAATCATAACTAATGGTTGGTCCTCATATAGAAACCGTACATTCTACAGTACTATATACCCTCAAAAGAAAAGGAACCCGTAGTAGGCACATAGGAGAGTTGACGGCAATAGCCAAAACACTAGAAACAGGAGCAAGTAGTAAACGCGAGTTCAGGGATCATGGTTCTAGTAGGGTTAAAGCCCTAAACCCTAAACCCCTAAAGCCCTAAACCCTAAACCCCTAAAGCCCTTAAGCCTAAATCCTAAAACCCTGAACCCTAAATCCCTAAACCCCCCAGCCCCAAAACCCTAGAGAAAAGTGTAACATAAGAGGGATCAGGGCTCAGGGCTCCAAAGCCCTGCGCTGTTGAACAATCGGAGCTGGGGGAGCTTCAGGGGCGTTAGGGCTTTAGGGCATTAGGGTTTTAGGGTTTCAGGGTTCAAGGGTTTAGGGTTTTAGGGTGTTATAGGGTTTATGGGTTTTTGGGTTTTAGGGTTTAGGGTTTTAGGGCTCAGGGCTTGGATGGGCTTGGGGTTTTCGGGGTTTTGGGAGAGGATGCGGGGCGGGTTGCGTTTCAGAGGGGCTTCATGGGTCCTTAGGGGTTTAGGATTCCAGGGCATACATAGGGCTTTCGATGTTTGTTTCATCTTGGACTTCGACTCTCCCACCAGGACGTTAAGTTTTGTAGCGGAATAAGGAAACGTTGTTTTAGAGTTCCATAGTTTGGGCACCTTGCGTTAAGTAGACTAGGTCTAATCATTAAACCCTCAGAAACTCTTGCACAAACTCTTATACAAAGTGTGGAAGGAACTTCATAAAGGAATCCTATTCTAATAACCAAAAGGAACCCTTACAGGAACCCTAGTCGAATGATTACGACCCCACATTTTTACGTTAAAAGGTTTAGGACTTATGGCTTATAGGGCTTCGGGTTTATAATGGCTGAGGACTTATAGGGCCTAACGGGCGTCGGTACAGCCAGGCTTTGTTCTGAGACTTATAGGGCATAGCAGTGTACGGTTCAGGGCCACATATCCTGAAGGAAAGACAGGACTCTGTTGGCCCAATTCTTGTCCGCACCTGCCTTGAGCAGCATTTGGACGATGTCATCGTGACCCTCTGCGGAAGCCTTCCATGCAGGCTGGCAGAGGCAGTGCGCAGCAACGCCGCTGTCAGGCGGAGTCGATTCCAGGAGGAGCTGCATGATCTGTGCATTTCCTGACTTGTTCAACACCGTGGGATTTAGTGAGTATTTAAGTGTTTCAGCATTCTTATACGATGTAATGCCCTGTCGCCGAGACAAATAAATAAGATGCCAGGTCGACCGAGTTTCCCAACTTTGCCGCCACCGAAAGGACCGACTCTCCCTCATCGTCACAGTCGATCTCGGCCCGAGCCTCAAGTAGAGTGCGCACGACGGAGACACGGACCCCTTCGATGGCGTTGACCTGCGGGCTGCTTTCGAGCACCTTGAATGGATCTCTGCTCCTAAACCAGAAACCCCAAAGCTCAATTGAATTTAATGTAGGGGCCTAAGTAAATGGAACAGGTTTTTGGGGGCTTTTTTAGACTACCAATTGTAATAAGGAATCCCAAAATAGAATTGGTATGTATGGCTATTTACTTAGAACCCTATAACTGCCATAGTTGGAACTCGCGGTTTATGTTTTAGGGTTTTGTGGTCTAGGGTTAAGGGGTTCAGGAGTTTAGGGTTGGAGCCCGAACTGTGAACTACCCCGCCACCTCTGCCTTCAGCACATCCACAGGCTGTGGGTCCAGGTGGCTGTTGGCAACAGCAATCCTGGGTCACTCTTCTCAGACTTTCTGAGTTCTCTGACTCAGTGAAGAGGCTAGGGTTCAGGGTTTAGGGTTTAGAAGTTAGGGTTTAGAGTTTAGGGTTTAGATTTTCAGAGTTTGTAGGGTTTAGGGTTTAGAATTTTTCGCCGGAATATGTAAGACCACCCCCGCTTAAGCTGAAGCTACAAAAAGGACCATGTCGGGTTGTTTTGGAGCATTGCACGCAGGGTTCAGGGTCGCACGATTCAGGGTTGCAGGATTGCAAGCAATCTTATTCAAGGCTGTGCAAAACTACACGATGTTTTGGGCACATTTCTAGAGGACTGCGCCGCATCATAAAGGTCTAGAACAACCAAAAAGTTTGAGCCTCCAATCGGATCTCCTCAAGAACTGGGGCATGCGAGGTGAAACCAAATGCCAACGGGTTTAGGATTCAGGGACTTACGTGTTTCAACCTCAACAGCTGCAAATCAAAACCAAATGAGATCCCTGTACCCTAAATGCCTCACCCTAAACCATAAAACCCTAAATACTTACTAAACCCTAAACCCAAAACCCTGAACCCTGCAGCTCCTATGACCCCGATAAGCCCCAACTCTTAGACGAGCAAGCCCCAACTTTCTCTCAGCCCCATACCCCAGCCCTAGCCACCTAAACCCTAAACATAAACCCTAAACATAGAAGCCCTAAGCCCTCAACACCTCAACTTAACCTGAACCCTGTACTCCGAAACTCGAAACCGCTATACCCTAAACCCTATACCCTAAACCCTAAACCCAGAACTCTAAACGCAAGACCCGAGCTCCACAACGCGGATCTTCCAACTCGATCTGGGATGGCAAGGTCTGCCCGGGCTCCCAGCACGAGCCGCAGAATTGCTGGGTGGCCAGTGGCTGCCGCAATCCATACCTGGTTCCCTGTTGGGGCTATATTAAGAATGATCATTGTTAATCCTTATTGGGTTTTCTTATAACAAAAATGTAAACTTGTAGCCAACAAGGACCCGGATACCTCAATTTCGAGGGTTTGTTGGGTGTGGGGGTTGGGGTTTAGGCGTCGGTGTTTTAGGGGGGGGCTTGTTTGTTACAAGAACTTCTACTCAGGTTCCTGTCGGTTCTCCCTAAAAAAAATCGATGCTCAGGAATGCGTCGACTGATCGTCGGCAGAGGCACTGGAGATTGCCAGTCAATGTTGGTCTTGTTCAGTCCTGCAACTGTTGATGATATAAATCCTACATTACCTTAAGGACCCCAAACTAAGGGAATTATGGTATATTCCTTATATTAGGGGTAATGCAGGTTTTATGTCATCAACATGTCCTGCAGAGGCTTGCACCAGTAGCTTCACGACGCCTTCGCAGCAGTTCCTGCAGGACACCCAGAGCGGAGAAGATCCACCGCGTGTGTCGGTGCTGTCCACTTCACACCTCGCCTCCGCAGCAATACGAGTACAGGAAGCTCATATTTAATGGACCAGGTTTCGGAGTACATTAGCCAATAGATATTAAGAGTGATTATAGATATGATAAGGAAACCCCTTGGGAATAGTATTGCTAGCTATTCATGTTTTCAGGCTTCTATGTTAGACATTTAACGGAGGAAAACACCGAGGTAATACTCGAGAACATGCCGGAGCAAGTAGCTTCATGCTTCTGACGCCCTACCAAAATCCCACGTCCTGCGTGCCCTACACTTTCGGGGGCTTAGGGGCGTAAGGCTGAGGGGTGTAGGTCTTGGGGTTGAAAACGTGCATCTGCCCTTGAAACGCAGATTACAGACATTATGCCATACTTCTGACTTGTTCAGTATCCTAGCGGAACTCAAGGGTAAGCCTTGGGGATATACATACATATAAAGAGAGAGAGAGAGAGAGAGAGAGAGAGAGATAGATATATATATATATGTATAGAGAGAGAGAGAGAGAGAGAGAGAGCCCCAACTATCCTTACTATACCCTCAATACCCGCCATTAAAGACCATAAGGGCTCTATTAAAGGGGACGTGGGAGGTCCTGGTAAAAAGAGATTAATATTACCCCAGAAACGTTAAAGGCTTCCCGACATCCTTCCACTCCCAAAGGTATAGCAAAATGTAGGGTTTCTACATTAGGAATTACTCTGATGATTCCGGGAAGTACCACCCACTACGGTACATAGGACCCTTTGGGACTAAACTAGACTTATAATTACGTATAGCTCCATTTCAGGTACTTTCAACCTTGCTTGTAGCTTCCAAGTAGAGGCTGTCCCCCATAACAGTACCCCTATAGATCCCTTAAAGGAACCCCCATAGATCCCTTGAAGGTACCCTGAAAGAACCCCTACACCCCAAACCCTAACACCCATAACAGTACATACTGTTGGATGATATAAACCCTGCATTACCTCAATCCAGGGACCCTAAACCATGGGAATTATGGTATATATTCCTTGTTATGGGTAATGCAGGATGTATATCATCAACCGTAGGGCCCTTTGGGAGTATCTCTCTCACGTGGGACCCTTTGAGCTAGGACCTCCAAGCTTCTAAGAAAATGCACGAATTCTGTGCTATGTGATGGTTTTGGGGTTTGGGCGTGCTTTGGAGTTTAGGGTTTAGGGTTCAGGGTTTAGGGTTTAAGGTTTAGGGTTTAGGGTTCAGGGCTTAGGGTTTATGGGACTCAGGGTTTAGGGTTTCTACTGTTGGCTTTGCATTTTTCGTTGCCGATTCCCGGCCTCCAGCAGAAGCTTCACGAGGCTGCTGTGACCCCAGTAAGATGCGATCCAGAGGGGTGCCATGCCTTTCCTGTCTGCCTTGTTGACCTCGGGCTCTGGGCCGAATAATTCTGGCTTTTAGGGGGGGTTTAGGAGTTCTTCTTGCATGGTTTCGGTGTTGATTTTTGTGGTTTCGGTGTTTAGGATACATGATTTTACGGTTTAGGGGTTTAGGGTTAATATGGGCTGTGGAGCTTCGGGTTCAAGGGCTCTACCAAGTACTGACCTACACACCCACTATCCTAAACCCCAGCACCTAGCCCTAAACCCCTAAACTGCCTAAACCCTAGAACCCTAAAACCCTATGCCCTAAAGCCCTAAAGCCCTAAACCGCCCTAAACCCTAAAACCCTAAAGCTGTAAAGCCCTAAACTGCCCTAAACCCTAAAACCCTAACGCCCTAAAAGCCAAAAACCTAAAACCCGAAAACCGGAAAACCCGAAAGCCCTAAGCCCTAAACCCCTAAAGCCCTAAACCCCTAAAGCCCTAAAACCCTAAAGCCCTAAAACCCTAAAGCCCTAAATCCCTAAGCCCCTAAAACCCTAAAGCCCTAAATCCCGAAAACCCTAAAGCCCCAGGCCCTAAACCCTAAGTGCCGTAGAAGCTGACTCAGGCCAGTCGCGTTTGCCATGGCCTCGAGCAGGAGGCGGGCATTGTCCAAATGCCCTCGAGCACTTGCCACCCACAAAGGTGGCCTGTCCACACCGCCGGTACTGTAAAATAAGTGTACTTGTGTATAATACGTATACATACATACATACATACATACATACATACATGTATATACATGTATATACATGTACATACATGCATACATGCATGCAATGCATACATACATGTATGTATGTCCACATCCGTCGGTTGAGGTTCGGGCTTATGGGGCTCAGGCAGAGTTTATTTCAATTAGATTTTTGCTGCGATGATACATACCATTGCCCATACCATGGTGCTACTATTCAGTAGAGGCCAGAAAGTTGGAACATCGCTATCCCCATGCCCTTAAGGAAAAGCAGACGGAATCCCAGCACAAATCATGTGAACCCAACGTTCCGGGTTCACTTCGGTTGATGATATACATCCTGCATTACCTTGAGGACCATAAACTACGGGAATTACGGTATGTTCCTTATTATNNTAATGCAGGGTTTATATCATCTTGTACCTGCTTCAGCCCTCATGCCCGGTCCAAGAACGAATGTTCAAGGAACCCCAAAGGTACATTCCTACTAACTACCCTAAATAAACCCTATAAGCCCTANNAAACCCTATAAACTATAAGCCCTAAATCCTATAAACTCTATAGACCCTTAACCCTAAACCAAAATGTCCCAAAGCTCATTCCAATCGTCGCTCAAACCTCCTGACACTCCAAATCCTCAAAAAGGACACCTTAATAATTACAACTGGTTCCCTGTTGGGACCATATT